ATGCGGGACTCGATGCGGGACTCGATGCGGGACTCCAGGATCATAACCTGAGCCGAAGGCAGTTGCTTAACCAACTGAGCCACCCAGGCGCCCCGGAAACTTCTAACTCTCTTAATGTTAATGCTTTGCTAGAGGGAAAAACAACCTTAGCTTGATAATAGCAAGGCCTCCAGTATCTTGAGGGTCTTCTTTAGCATATGAAAGTCCTTTAAAAAAAAAAAAGATTTTATTTATTTGACACAGAGAGAGAGCGCGTGCGCAAGAACTCGAGCGCACAAGCAGGGGGAATGGCAGGCAGAGGGAGTGGGAGAAAAAGGCTTCGCAATGAACAGGGAGCCCGACATGGGGCTTGATCCCAGGACCCTAGGATCATGACCCATAGCTGGTCAACCAACTGAGCCACCCAGGCACCCCTATGAAAGTCCTTTTAGACACCTCCCTTCCTTACCGCCCCCAATTACCAAGTATATGATCAGTCACCCCTCAAAATCCCAGGTCAGCAGCTCCTTCTGCCCTTGGGTCCTGTCCCTGTAATTTAATAAAAGCACCTTTTTGCACCACAGATGTCTCAAGAATTTTTGCTTGGCCCTCAGCTGCTCCAGACTTCACCAACCTTCCAAAATACATCAAAGGTACAGGTTTGGAGATGTGTGTGTGTGTGATGTGCAATGAAATCAATTAATGAATTAATTATGCAATTGAAAATAAAGACATTAGGGCGCCTGGGGGGCTCAGATGGTTAAGCGTCTGCCTTCGGCTCAGGTCATGATCCCAGGGTCCTGGAATCGAGTCCCGCATCGGGCTCCTTGCTCTTTGGGAGCCTGCTTCTCCCTCTGCCTCTCTCTCTCTCTCTCTCTCTCTGTCTCTCATGAATAAATAAATAAAATCTTTAAAAAAATAAAGACATTGAACCAACCCCATTGCCCTGAGCATAGGGCCATGGAAAAGTGTTTAATCGATAGTTGCTGATTACTATCAGTACCTCCCAGAGTTGGCTTCTGGAAGCTGCTTGTTGGATTAGCCCCAGGGGAACTTTTATGAATTTTTTAAAAAATTGTAAATCAGGGGCGCCTGGGTGGCTCAGTTGGTTAAGCGACTGCCTTCGTCTCAGGTCATGATCCTGGAGTCCCGGGATTGAGTCCCATATCGGGCTCCCTGCTCAGCGGGGAGTCTGCTTCTCCCTCTGACCCTCTTCCCTCTTGTGCTCTGTCTCTCATTCTCTCTCTCTCAAATAAATAAATAAAATCTTAAAAAAAAAGTCTTTAAAAAAAATAAAATAAAAAATTGTAAATCAAGGGGCGCCTGGGTGGCTCAGTTGTTGGGTGTCTGCCTTCGGCTAAGGTCATGGTCCCAGGGTCCTGGGATTGAGCCCCGCATCGGGCTCCCCGCTCTATGGGAAGTCTGCTTCTCCCTCTCCCACTCCCCCTGCTGCGTTCCCTCTCTTGCTGTGTCTCTCTCTGTCAAATAAATAAATAAGATCTTTTTTAAAAAATTGTAAATCAAAAGATATAACTGCCCTCCAAAGTTTTTTTTTTTTTAATAATAAAATCCACCCCATTACCAAGGGTTTAAGAACCAGGTGAACTGGGCCCTGGCTCCCTCCTGAACCTCATCTCTCCCCAATCCCTTCAGCTCATAATCTTCTGTCCTTCCTCAAAGACCCCAAAGCCTTTCCTGCCTCAGGGCCTTTGCACATATGGTGGCTTTCTCCACTGGATTCCTATTCATCCTTCAGGTCTCTGTTTAAATGTTTATACTTTCCCTGACAACCCCCAACCCTCAATTATTCTTTCCCATCGAGCCCTGCTCTTTTCCTGTAGTAATACTATCACAATTGATAATTATCAATTTATCTGCAGGCTTGTATATCTAGTCTGTCTCCCCCATCAGACTTCCTAAGGGCAGGGTCTCTGGTTGGATGGCTCACAGCTCTGTCCCCAGTGCCCACCACATCCAAGGTACACATTAAACATCTGCTCAGTGCCTGAATTCCCACTGCCTCTCCAGCACGCTCCCATCCTACCCCAAGGGAGGGAGGCTCAGCACACAGTAGGGGCTTGACCAGAGTAGGGAGTCTTTATAAAACGGAGGAGAACTGAGACAAAGGCCATGTGTTCTATGTGGAGATGGCTGGCTCAGACCCCAGGGAGGGGGGGCAAGCCTGGGAAAGGACAGGCATTCTTGGCCTTAACCCCAGCTCTGTTTCCCCCACCCCATCCCAGAACTTCTAAGGCACCAGTGGAGACTCTGGGTGGGCGGCAGTTTCCAGCCTGGGGACAGGTTCCTTCCCACTTTTTCTGACTGAGGGCGAGAGTGAAGTTGGTCTGGAAGAAAATGTCAAAGTAAAAAAACAATGCAGTGATTGACTCTTGCTTGCTGCCATTTGAAAGGAATGAAAGTGGGATTAACCAAAAAAACAAAATCTAAACCAAAACCAAAACACTCTACTGTTTAGATGCTGCCTTGGAAACAATCATCTTACTGTTTTCTGTGTCATAATAAAATTAAAGGTTTACCCAAGAGCCTTGTGCAGTGTACAGGGAGGCTGGTCTCTGGGTTTGCAGCTACCAAGAAGCATGGCTCCTTTCTAGTGCCCACTGCATGTGGGGTTGGGAGGAGGGTCTCAGGTGCCTACAGGGAAGGGGTTGAACATTTAGGGGTGGGTAAAGGGCTCAGTCATCATCAACCAGTGATATTTTCTATCAGACATTGGCCATCAGATCTTGTCCCTCTCCTGTTAGAAACCCACCAGGCCTTAGAATAAAATATTAACCTCTCCCTTCCATTACTGAGTAGGCAGAATAATAACCATCCAAAGATATAAAACCCTATCCCCGGAATCTGTATATTTTACTTTATAAAGAAAAAAAGGATCTTTGCAGATTAAGGTTCTTTTTTTTTTTTCTAAAGATTTTATTTATTTAGAGAGAGAGAGAGAGAAAGCAGAAGCAGCAGGAGTGGGGAGCCCAATGCTGGATTTGATCCCAGGACCCTGGGTTCATGACCTGAGCCAAAGGCAGACACTTAACTGGCTGAGCCACCCAGGCATCCTAAATTAAGGTTCTTGAGGTGGGAGGTTATCCTGGATTACCTGGGTGGGCCTTAATCCAATCACAGGTGTCTTTCCTAGAGGGGCCAAGAGAGATTTGATCCATACAGAAGAGGAGATGGCACTGTGATACTTGAGGCAGAGATTGGGGAGATTAGGTCATAGGTCAAGGACTGCCAGCAGCCACCACCAGAACTGGAAGAGAAACAGATTCTCCTCTAGAGTCTTCAGAGGAAGGCCGGCCCTGCTGACACCTTGATTTGGGCTCACTGAAACTGATTTCGGATTTCTGACCTCTAGAACTATATGGGAATACATTTGTTTTTTGTTTTTTTGTTTTTTTAAAGATTTTATTTATTTATTTGACAGAGAGACACAGCCAGAGAGGGAACACAAACAGGGGGAGTGGGAGAGGGAGAAGCAGGCTTCCCGCGGAGCAGGGAGCCTGATATGGGGCTCGATCCCAGGACCCTGGGATCATGACCTGAGCCGGAGGCAGACGCTTAACGACTGAGCCACCCAGGCACCCCCCCTTTTTTTTAAGACACCACAGTCAGTGGCAGCCACAGGAAACTAAGATCATCTAAATAGCCCTATGGGACCTGGTCTGCCTACCTGTTGAATCTCGCCCCTTGCTCATGTTGCCTCAGTCCCACCAAGGATCTTTCTGTTCTTCAAACTGTCTAGCTTCCTCCAGCCCCAGGGCCTTTGCACTTACTAAGTTCTTCCCTAGGCAGACCCTACTGATGATTCAGCTCTCTGCATACATGTCACCTCTCCGAGAGGTCTTCTCTAACCAGTTTATCTAAAAATTGCCTCCTGGCCATCTCTGTCACATCTCTCTATTTTATTTTAGTCACAGCATTTGTCACTGAGGTGGTTTTTTCCTCCCAGTCTATCACTTATCACTCCCAGTAGAAAGTGGGATCTGAGAAGCGTTGCCTGGCTTGTACCTGCTGTTTCCCCAGGGACTGGGATGCGGCCTGACATATAGTAGAGGTTCTGCAAACACTGGTTGATAAATAAACCGTGCAAGCCTTTACGGCCTGAAGAGAGAGAGAGAGAGAGAGAGAGAGAGAGAGAGAGAGTGTGTGTGTGTGTGTGTGTGTGTGTGTGTCCGCGCGCGTGCGCGCATGTTTCAGGGTGCAGGTGGAGTAAAGAAACCGTAACTCCAACATCATCTCCCACCTTGTGAGTGCCCCCCATGCACGCCCTCGCCACGGTGTGCCAGGAGTTTCTGTGAGGTGAGGTCCTTCATCTCTCCATATTACAGACGAGGAAACTGAGGCTCCATGATCTTCTAAGTTACTGCTTAGTATGTCCAGAAGTGAAGACCACATAAACTGAGTCACGAGCAGCCTCAGCTGACTCAGAGCCTGACCTCCCTGGTGCTCGGTAGGTCGCCCGGGACTCCTGAAGAGTCGCTGCACAGAAAAGCGGATCGCGCTGTAAGGAGAAACTTCAGAGAGGCGCCCTAGAGGCCTCCGGGAGAGGCCTCGGAGTACTGCAGCCGCGTTTACCTCGGGCTTGGAAGTGACTGGCTGGCAGGGGGCGGAGCAGCGGTGAAAGCCGCGGCGACGCTGAGGGAGGGTCCCTGGAGGTGGCTTTCCCTAGGAGAGAAAAGCGCGGCGCTCCAGACTGGTTGTGGAGGAGCCATCTCATTTACCGCGGCCTCAGTTTTCCCGTCTGGAAAGTGGACGCGGCCACGAACGGCTCGAGGGGGGAACCGGCCGGCGGCGAGCGGAGGGTTAAAGGGGCGGGTCCCGCAGGGGGGCGGGGCCGGGGCTCGGCCGCACCTGGCGGCAAGCGGCTCTCCTCCCCGGCGCCGCGTGTTGCGCGGGGTGCCGCCGCGGGAGCCGGAGACCCCGGCGAGGAGCGGCTCGGCAGCCGGCACCCACCGCGGGAGGGGCGGCGGCGGCCGGAGCGACGTCGGGAGGCGAGCGGAGCAGCCATGGCCGAGTTCCCGTCGAAAGTGAGCACGCGGACCAGCAGCCCCGCGCAGGGCCCCGGCGCCTCGGTCTCCGCGCTGCGCCCGGACCTGGGCTTCGTGCGCTCCAGCCTCGGTGCGCTCATGCTGCTGCAGCTGGTGAGCGCGCGCGGGGCCGCGGGGCCGCGGGGTCGGGGTGGGGGGCGGCCGGGCCGGGAGGGCTCGGGGCTGCCTCGTTTGCTCCCAGAACACCCTCACCTTAGGCTCCGCCGCACCGCGCCTATCCCCGGGGCGCCTCCAGGACGTACGTCCCCGAGACCACCCTGGAAGCCCTCTCACCTCGAGACGTCCCCATTGCCGTCCCCGCGAGCACCCGTGTTCAGGGTGCCCACTCTCGCACGCCCCATCATCCCCCGAGGTGGTCACTGGAGACCAGCCAAAGGAGCGCTCACAGACGCACAGTCACTGCGCACAATTCGCTTTCTCAGCCTCTGTCTCTCTCTGCCAGCACAATATCCCCAGCCCTCCAGGACACCCAGCCTGAGTGAAGCGAAGTCCACTCCGAGCGGCTCCGCGTGGCCGCGCCCCAGAAAGCCCCTTTTCTAAGCGAGAGGACGCCTCCGTTCCGGCGCATACATTTAGGCGCGGCCCTCTCGGCTCCCGTGCAGGGACCGGGCTTTTCTGGCTTCCCCTGGGTGCCCCACCGGGTTCCAGCCGGTTTGGCCGGCCCCGCGGGGCCGAGATACCGCACCCAGCGCAGGCGGGAGGGGTTTGTGGGAAGCCAGAGGCAAGGCTACGATGCCTCCCAGACCCTGGTGCAGAAGATCCCAGCAGAGTCGGACCAATCGGAACACCCTTCTCCCCACACAGCAGTTTCAGGCCTGGCGATGTTCGCTTTCTTCCCACAGTACCCTCTGGTAGGTCAGGAAGCTGGGTGGCTGCCCCTGTGGGAGGATTCCCCCGGGAACTGAGGTTCCAGAAGACTTAAGGTGGAACTGCAGGTAGGCCAGGATCCATTTTCTTTTAGGGCATCTCCGCCGCCCCCCTCCTGCCTGATCCTGGCTGGACTGCCAGGCTGGAAGGCTGGGTGATCTGAGACCCCCACCGCCCGTGAGCGCCTGGCCGCACTGGGTCAGTGGTAGCTCTGGTTTCAGGATTTCACAAATCTCTCTCTGGGGGGCCCCCCACCCCAGCCTCAGACTCTCTTGGAGGGGTTTGTTTAAAATGTAGATTCCTGATCCCCACCCCCGGAAGAATATGTGGAATTGTTATTTGAATCTCAGGAAGTGCAGCCCAGAAATCTACATTTGTAATATTCTCCCAGAGTTGTTTTGGAGATTCCCGGGGTGGTTAAGAGGTCCAGTGGGGGCCTGATTTAAATCTGCAGGTAGGTTTGCCCCTGACCCAAGCGGTGCTGCTGTTCTGGGCTCCAGGACAGGACGGTGGGGAAGGCACCGGGGGAGTGGGAAGGGATCGTCAGGCCTTGGTCTGAAAGGGCAGAGGAGAGGGGGGTGAACTTGGAGTCCAGGGAGGTTCGTGGAGGAGAGGGATCTTTTGACTTCACTGAACTCTGGCAGAGGAAGGGAAAGGGTGTTCAGGGTTGGGAGAGTGCTGTGTGAGCCAGGGCTTGAGGATGGGCAAGTGGAAAGGAAGTTGCGGATATCAGGTGCTTGAAGCTGAGGGCGCCGAGTGCCCCGGGGAGAGATGGGGATCTTGTTCTGTTGGCTGCCTGGGGGTTTTGCAACCGCGGAAAGATCTCCGCTGGGCTCTGCGGCGGACGGTGGGGTGGAGCCTTAGGCTTAGCTCTTGGTTAATGGGACCTGAGCACTGGCTTTTGCGTTTGAACAGTGAGAAGTGGAGTTGAGAGGAAGGGGGCCCTGCTGTGCCTGCTGGGACCTGGGTAGATCCCTCTGGAGGAGGCTGCTGTGTCTGATTTGGGGGTCCCTGTGGGCCCAGCAGCCCAGTCCTGAATATCTGGGTCCCATTGCACAGATACGAACCCTGGGCTCTACACAGGGTGTAGGACTTGCCAGAAGGCCTTGCTTGGCACTTAGGTCTCCAGACACTGAGGTACTGGGTGTGAGGGGGGTGGCCTTCCTTTGCCCCCCTCCCCCTGCAGTGCTTTTGGGGCTGAGGGTGGGGGGATGAGGGTCTCCCATCAAAGGTCTGAAGACCTGTCCCTTGTAGTGCCTTAACCATCCTACCTGTGGGAGAAGCTGCTTCCTGAGCTATGTCTCTGGCCACAGGTAGTTCCAGTGGACAGCTTCTTGGGTCCATAGGGGGCTTTACCCCAACAGGCACCACCGTCTGCTGGGAAGCCATAAAAACTCTCACCAGTCAGGTGAGAACTAGGCTCCTGGTTCTTTGGCAAGGGCTTTATATTCTCTGTTCACCCCATTTTATAGGTGAAGAAACCGAGACTCAGAGGTCAGTTCTTTGCCCAAGATCTGAGTGATAGAACTGGGATCTAAGCCCTGGGTGATCTGACTTTTCTGGCCCATGCTTTTAATTACCACACTCAGCTGTGCTCCCACAGGGCAGAGGGTGTGGTGCTTTTGAGGGAGTGATGGAGTGGTCATCCCTCCCAACCCCCTAAAAGGCCGAGCACCTACTCTCCAAGGGCTCTTGGTCTGAGGGAGGTACCCAGAGGATGAGCTTTCTGCAAAGGGGTCAGGGAAGGCTGCATGGAAGAGGTAGTAAATGGGAAGCTGAAAGCTAATTCTTTGTTTCCCAAAGGATTTGGTGAAGAGTTCTAGCTGTGGTGGGAGGAGGGAGGTGGGGTGGGCAGAAGGCCCCAGCTTCTTGGGAAGGAGATGTGTTCTTTGTCTGATATTAAATGTGTCCTGAAGGGAGCCTGAGTGGCTCAGTTGGTTAAGCGACTGCCTTCAGCTCAGGTCATGATCCTGGAGTCCCGGGATCGAGTCCCGCATCAGGCTCCCTGCTCTGCAGGGAGTCTGCTTCTCCCTCTGACCCTCTTCCCTCTCGTGCTCTCTATCTCTCAAATAAATAAATAAAATCTTAAAAAAAAAAAATGTGTCCTGAAGAACCAACTTCAGTGTTTACTGATTTATCACCCCCCCCCCCCAACACACACCCCCCATTTGGTTCCAGAAAGGACATTAGATGGAATGTGATATTTAGCTACGTACAACAGGAGTTAAAGTCATATGTTTCTAAAAGTTGGTGGTGTGTGCAGAGGAGGGGGAAGGATTGACTTAAGGAGAGCCAGAAAGAGATCATTGTCCTAGCAATCTATAGCAAGCTTAAGGCCTTCGATTCTGTGTCGAGTTTCCTAGCATCATAGGCAAAAAGGGAAACATGATGAATTTCTGCAGATAGTATCTAAAAAGCAAGCAGGCAAGTTTGATCTAGAGACAACTCGTGGTCATAAAAATCTGGAGGTTTTGATGCTTGTATAAGGTCACATGGGGTAGAGTGGCAGTCAGAATTTGCACTCAGATCCAAAGCCTGGCTCTAGCTATGCTTCCTGTTTTGTTGGTATGGGGTGCAGGTTCTTGGGGGTGCTTTGGAGGGGAAAGGGAAGGGAGACTCCTCAGGAGCCAGGGCCACTAAGGAAGGCTTTCCGACAAAAGTGGGCTCCAAAGGGTTTAGTTACAAGGAAGGAGGTAAGAAGGAGGTTCCGAACAGATGAACCTCAGATTAGCTTGCCTCAAAGCCCTGCAGTCAGAAGGCATCCCCGAGGCCACAGGTGTAGAAGCCCATATAAATGGTCTGTGGCACTCGGGCCATCAGTGTTTGGCAGGCTCTATCCTTCCTTTTTGCCGGACCTCCTGGGATTGGGGGTGGCCACACAATTCCCATTTTGCAGGTGAATAAACAGGTATCGGAAGCTTCACCCACCAGTAGATAAGAGTGATTTGTGGGTGATGCAGAAAGTGTTGGTGGGAGCACTGGCCTGAAAGAGAGCCTTGGGTTTAAGTCCTGGCTGCCCCTTCCTGTCTGTGTGATATTGTACCTTCCCTAATATCCTAGAGCTTCCGTTTCCTTGTTGGTAAAATAGTGATGGTGGGATAGGGAGGAATATGGAAGATGGTGCTGTAAAGGGCTTAGTGCAGCATGTGTTGGAATGAAGGGCAGTTAGGATTCACAGAGCTGTAGAATCCTAGGGTTCTCTTGCTTGCTCTGCTTGCTCCCAGAGGTCCCTCAAGCTTGCATGCTTCCACGGTCGGGGAACTCACTCTCTCCCACGGCTGCCTGCACCATCCTTGTGCATTTGGGAGTATTAGAAAGTTCTTCCTTGCCGTGATCCTGACTCTTTCTCCAGCCTCAGCAAGCACGTCATTCCTCTCCTGTTGGGGGTTAGGGCAAGGCCTGCAAGTCACCTCTGTCCTCCAGGAAGAGGCTGCCTGGGAGAGGTTGTTGGGGTCTCCAAGGTGTGAGCAGAACTCAGCCCCATTGGAAGTGCTGTACTGGGGTCTCCCAGGGCATTCCTCAGGCCCTGCAAGCTCCCCGGCCACCTCCTGTGCCCAAAGGAAACCAGTGCTTTGTCTTGTTAGCTCCACCCACACGCCCCGCTGGTTGTGGCCAGGAGGGAGTTGAGTGTTTGGAATAAATATGTGAACACATTCTCCTTAAAAAATGAAAGCCTTTTACAGATAAGGCCAAAGTTATTCTTGGATCCCTTGTCCCTCTCCCCAAGGGGACTCCTGTTGGGAGTTGCCAGTTCTTTTTCCTGTGCATTGTAAAAAATGGGGATGATTTTATTCCCTCTCCTTTGTTCAGCAAGTTGCTTTTCTTTCTTTCTTTTTTTTTTTAAGATTTTATCTATTTACTTGAGAGAGAGAGAATGAGAGATAGAGAGCACAAGGAGGGAAGAGGGTCAGAGGCAGAAGCAGACTCCCCGCCGAGCAGGGAGCCCGATGTGGGACTCGATCCCGGGACTCCAGGATCATGACCTGAGGTGAAGGCAGTCGCTTAACCAACTGAGCCACCCAGGCGCCCAGCAAGTTGCTTTTCTTACACCCAAGGCACCTGAGATCTCTTCTGTTATACAGATCCATGCCCCTCCCTGTTAACCGTTTCAGGGCATGCCCGACTGTCACTGTCATCCCCTTTCGTGTAGGCCTTTCTCTACTCATAGGTCCATTTAAAAAAATGGTTCTATCCCTTGAGAAAATACACAGGCACACAGCAAAACA